GGCAGGACACGTGGTGTGACAGCCGTGTGCAGAGGTATCAGTCCCGAGACAGATCTGCGGTGAGCCAGTGAGCCTTCAGGGAGTGGGGCGCACATTTTGCGGTCTCTCCAGGAATTGTCTCTGTCTCAGCAGAAGTTCTGGGAGGTGCTGTGTGTTCTGGGAAACAGGGGACCTCACACCCTCCTTTGTTCAACACACTTAAACACAGTCAGTTCCACTCTCGAGCTGACTTCCTTCAATGACCCTCCCTAAGAATCTCTGCGAGGCCCAGGGCAGCCAGGCGCTGCCCACAGGAGTAGCGGCCAGTGGGGCAGCAGGAGGCCAGCTCGACACGTTTGCCCTGTCGGTGCCCCAGAGCCAGGGGCCGGGACGCCCGGGACCCCCAACGCCTGGGGAGAGGCCTGTGTGTGTGCACGACCTCGGCCTGCAGTGACCGCATGGCCTCGGCCGATGTCCCAGCCACGCAGTGTCTCCATTCTCTGCGCCTCCGCCTTGCTGGGCTGCTGTTGACCCTTCCCAGATGGGCCTTAGCCTTAGTTTCTTGATGACGTGACTGTTTTTTCTCAGGTGTACACAGAAGGTGCTTGGAGCTCAAGAGAAGACATGATGGCCAAGGGTGGGAGCCTTCTGGGACGGCTTCCCTGAGAGGTGGGCTGGGGCTGGGCTGAGGGCAAGAACAAAGCAGGGAGGGGAAGAAGCCCACTGTTTGAGGAGCTGCACTGGGTTTTGGGGAGTGATGGCGGAGGGCAGGAGAGCGGGTCCTGGTGGGAGGGGAGCCATGGGGGGGAGCCACGGGGGGCCTTTGAGTAGTGCCAGGACAGGACCAGAGAGGGTGTGAGCAAACTCACAGGCTGGTAGCTGTGGAAAGAGCTCACAACTCCAGGGGGGACCCCTCCCCCAACTTACTCTTGGCCATGGGGTAATTCTCTAAGGGGTCACCCCCAGAACATCCTCCTCTCTTTACCCAACAAGTTCCTTCTCAAAAACTGCTCTTCAACCCCTGCTATAGGCCAGTGAGCCCTTGAGGACAGAAGCCTGTCACTCCCAGGCAGCAGGCACCCTCTAAATGACAGGGCCCAGGGAATGCCCATCTGGAGCAGAATGAGTGCTGGGCATGGTGACCAAGGGAGGAGAACGAAGGGAGGCCAACTCTGGCCTCTAGCCAGCTGTGTGGCCACTGGACAGTCAGCCCCCTGGACATCCGTGCCGCCATCTGCGCAGAGCTGGCCCACCTCCTAGGACAAGCTGGTGTTTGGGAACCCCACACTAGTAATACCAGTGCTCGCAACAACAATGGAGGGGAGCATTTTGATGGTCCCCATCTTACAGATGGGGAAATGGAGGCACAAGGGGGCCGGCACCTTGTGCAAGATGAGCTACAGGTGGTGGAGCCCGACAAGCTGAGCACCTGCACTTTCGGCCTTGACGTCATACATGCAACAGAAGTGGGTGGTAGGTGGTTCTTAAAGTGTGCTCTTTGGAACCCCAGGGTTCCTGGGGATTTTTTGGCAGCTACAGAGGTAGAGGATGGGCAGGTGAGGCTGTGGCCCCTCAAGCTCTCTTCAGCTGAAGTGGCATTATTTCCCCGTCTTACATCTTGGGCGCTTTGCAGAAGGTTCCATTTGAAGGAAAGGGATGCGTCATTCAGGGCAGTGGGACTCCTCCCCCAGCCTCCAGGTCCTAGGACCCCTTCCAGCCCCAGTGGATGCCATCATTGTCCAAGGGTCAAGGGGCACTGACCGCTGCCCCTTGGGTCCTCTCAGCCCCCCAGCACCCAGTGGACAACCCTTGAAGCCAGAATGAGATCAACTCTGGCCGCTGCAAATTGCATCGCTATTGTGAACGAAAGTGACACGATTCTTCAGTCAGCACACGCTGTTGTCACCAAGGGGGGCCGCGTGTCCTCGCATGCCAGTGAGGCAAGAGCATCCAGGGTTGCTGCATCTCGGGTGGACCTTACCACAGAAATAGGAGTCAGACCCCACCGCTGCACAACCTCCAGGAAGCTGCTTTTTCAGAAAGAAGCCCCCACAGATGGCACTGTTCTGGGGGGCGACACTGAGCCAGATCTATCTCCTGGAACATTCCCCTGCACCCCGAGGTCTTAAGCTTGCCCTCTGGAGCTGCTGGGAACCAGTCGACTCCCTCTTCTGCATGACAGGCCTCCAAATCCTTGCCGACAGCTCTCCTGTCCCCTTCCAGACTTCCCCAGGCAAAGCCGCCTAGCTTTCTAGCCCTGCCTCCGATGACACGCACGGTTTCAAGTCCCCTTAGCGTCAGCATATTAACATGTGGGGGAGAAAATATTGCAGCCCGAGTCAGCCTTTTGACAGGGCTGAGTTCCACGACCTAGCCTTAGGCGGCGGAGATGTCCTGGGTCCCAGGGGGCGAGGCACAGACAAGGGCAGACGGGTGACATTGGGAGATGGGAGGCAAGGTGAGCCGGGAGCGGGGAGAGCAGGCCTCTGGGGTCCCATCCCAGGGCAATTTGGGGGGCAAGATCTGAGTCCAGGAATGCCGCTGTCCCTGTACCCAGGCCGGTGGTGGGCAGCTCTGCGGATGACAGCTTAGGGTTAGTGATGCCCACAGGGCCATGTGGGCTCCGCTGGATCCTGGCCAAGCCAGCCCTCAGGGGCCTCAGGGTCCAGTTGATATGCTAACGCAGGGGCCCCCTGCCGAAGGGTTCCCCTGTAGTGCCAGCTCCAGGAGGGAGGGTGGGGTTTACTCTCTAGTTCACCCCTGTTTTCCTAGCATCAGCAATGGAGCCTGACGCATAGCAGGTGCTCAATAAATGTTTTTTGAAAGAATAAGTGAGGCCCCTCCCTGGTGGCGCAACGGGTTAAAGCGCAGCTCTGCAAGCCAGCTGCAGCTGCTTCAGCGTGAGTTCAATCCCCGGCCCCGGAGGTGACCCACACGGCACAGCAGGCCTCTCCTGACCCCCTGCTGCTCCCCTCAGCAGTGTGTTTCAGCAGATCCACCCACTCTGTCTCTGGTGAAGCCTCTCACCGCCCCTGCTCCTCTGGCCTGTACCCCAGTTCTGTATGCATAAATGAACAAAAATCTTTTAAAAAGAAAGAAAGAATGAGTGAGGAGGAACCCCAGGTCTAGGAAAAATAACAAAGGCTGCCATTTATGAAGCACCTACTGGGTACCAGAAGGCCGGGTGTGGGGAGGCCGTGGCCATGTCTGCTCTGCTCGTTCCAGTATTACCAGGCACAGCTGCCACACAGAAGGTCCTCAGCAAATATTTAATCAATGTTCAATGTTATCTCCTCATTACCCAAACAAAATGGGGGAGAAGAAATGGGAGAGGCTGCAGTGAGAGAGTTTGAGAGGCTTTCTCACAC